AGTAACTTCTCGACATTCGTGAGGTCAGTTTAACAAGAGCTCTCTCTCAGAAAAGTTGAAGTCAGCAACTGTTGCCTTTTTGTGACACAAAGTCACAGTGGATTTAAACAAAGAACACTTGGTGCTTTGATATGTATTTTTGCTCCAGATACTGTGAACAGTTCCTTAATGTTTCTTACTCCAAAGGAAAATGTCCAGATGCATACCGGCAGAATAACCTATGACAACAACAGCAGTTATCCTAGTTCATATTTATACTTCTTACGTTGGATACCAACCAGTCAAAATCCGCTCAAAACTCCTGGAAGTCATTAACCACACCATTCGTTGGGTTCCTTAATCAGGAATTCACTGAAATGTGGTCTGATGCCTTGAGTTCTCAGCAGAATTTCTAGGGCTTTTTTCAGAATTCCTATTTCAAAGGAAACTCACTGGGGATTCCTGACTCAGAGCACTCCTTGGTGAGAGGTAATAGCGTGTTCACTCACAGTGTCTTCCCTGGTGATCAGGGCTGACCTGACACAAATTCACATTTTGTGAAGAACTTTTGAGCCCCGAGAGTCATTGCAGGCTGAGGTAAAGCTTCCTTACCTCACTGTCAAAAAAATATCAGTTTGTTTCATTCACATGAAACATCCTTTTGTTACCACGTTGTCTCTGGCAGTTGTACTTAACATGATCACCAGCTTTGCAGAAATTCATTCAGTACCTATGAATCTTCTTTCAAAATGTTGATGCTGCCCTCCACTGTCTGACAGAAATGCAAGGGACTGATCTTGTCAGATGGTTCATGATGTACTTGAGCTCCTAAAATTTCAGCAATCATATGGGTAACAGTTATCTTTTCATTCACAATGAAGAGTATGTTCATTTCGCTTGGGGTTGCTGGAAAATTAATTTCCTTGACATGTAACAGTGCTGATGCAGTGGCTAAGTCTATAGGGAGGTAGTACAGATGCTTTTCACCATGACCTCCATAGAGAAAACAATTTCTTGGTCCATTGTTCGGGAAATAACAATAGCTCAGAGACATGAAGTTTAGTAGTGTCATTACTAGTTTACTGATCTTCTTACAAAATCAGAATCTCTGGACAATCACTGAAGCATAGACAAAAAAAAATGTGCTTCCAGCAGGACAATATTTTCTTTTAAGCAAAGCTAGTGATCATAGAGTGCAATCTGTCTTGAGATAGATGATATGAAGGTGATATTATTCCTTCTGAGGTAGGAGTCCTATAATGTAAGTTGACTTACGTGAAATTTTTCGGTGAGGCCCAGCTTTGCCATCTGAAGTTCCAGGAGAGCAGCTCAGCCCAGGTCCTGGACTTCCAGCGCTTTTGCTCCACAAAGATATTGTCCTGAAGATGGTGACCCTTCTATGTCCAGGAATAGCTTCACATTCTGTGGTGTTCAGCTTCAGGACAACCCCACCTGTGACCCACAGCACCTTCCCTGCACAAATAACAGTTAGTTTGATGAACAGGCAAGGAAAAAAATCATAAAAGGGACAAAGACCAAAAAATGAGAGAAAGCCAGTGATCTATAAGAATACAGACCCTTGGATACAAGACATCCAGTTGGAAGTCTCCAAATGAACCAAGTTGTGACTCTTCTGAAGGAAAGATTTTTCACAAAAGCTAAGTTAGGCCATACAAATCACTGGAGCAGGGGACACAGGCTGGTTGGAAATAAGACAGACAGAAAAGGTGACAGCAGAGAAGACAGAGAAAGAGAAAAATCCTCTGGAGAATTTCTTCCCTGTCACCTGGGATAACTGAGGTCTCCTCAAGAGAAGGAGCTCTCTACTTTGCAGGCAGGAGGCTGTAAGAGATTGTAAGTGGAAGTAAGTGATGCCAAGTGACTGCCTCATGAATCTCATGTTGAGAGAAGAGCTGTGGGAGATCACTTCACCATCAGCACAGAACAGAAAGACACTGTCTCCTGAATTAATAACCTGAATCAACTGTTCTGCTTCTGGCAGCCACAGGAAGATGCAAAATCCAGATATAGCTTGCACTTTCTGGAAGTTATTATTTCAGATTGAAATTAAAAATCAAAGCAGTTAGGACAGGACATACTCATAACCATGCAAGCACGGCATGTGTGACTTACTTTCCCCACACTAAATGTATTTTTAAAAGTCACAGAGCAGATACTCAGTGTACATAGTTAGACATAGAGAAAGATAGAGATAGAGAGAGTTAGACATATTCTTTCCAGATATAATCAGGGCCCCCTAAAACATGGTTTAGGGTGGAAGAGGCCTCTGGACACTTGAGTCCAAGCCCCTCCTGAAAATATCTCCATCAGATCCAGCTCATCAGGGCCAAATTTTGTCTTATACTACCCTGTTCAACTCTAGGAGTCTGACTCTGTTATCTATATCCTTCCGTGAGGCAGCTGTAGACAGCAAGACCTTCAGCTTCTCTTCTATAGGATGAGAAGGTGAAGCTCTCTCTATCTTGCCTTGTATGTCACTCTGAAGGTGCATAAAGCTGCCTCTAGCAGTATCCCCTCACTTGTCTTCTGGACATGTTAACCTGGAACCTTCCTTAGAGACATGTGCTTCAGCTTCCTGTAATTTCTCAAGCACACTACCCTTGTGTCTACAGCATCCAGCTTCAAGCACTGTTTCATAGGTGGGCAACAGATAAAACTTGTATACAGCTGATGTACATCAACTGAACCCCCAAGCCATCAACCAAATCCACAGATCCCTTTCTGGAGGGTTGCACTTCAGTGTCACGTTCCCCAGTCTATACATCCGTCAAGGATGACACTGTCCCAGGACAGAATCCAGCATTTTTCCTTGTTAAATTTCAAATTGTTGCTGATTTCTCAGCACTCAAATGTATCAAGATCTCTCTCTAAGGCCTGTCTACTCTCGAGGGACTAAGCAAGTATCAGCCCTCAAACTGTCTCAGTGTGTACTCAACTCCTGTGATCAGGTCATTGATAGAAACATTGAAGAGAACTGACCTTAAAATTGAGCCTGTGGAACACCACTAGTGGCTGGCCACCAGCCTGATGTTACCGCTTGACTACAACTGTTTGAGCCTGACCCTTCAGCCACTTGTTCACCCAAAGAAGTAGAGGACATAGCCACACCACAGTCTTGAGCTGCAGTCACTACTACAGCACTGCTCTTGTGTGTAGATACCAGCAGTGAGTACCCTCAAGAATTGAAACGGGGTAATAAACATCTGGGCAGATATGTTGTATATTACTCTTTCAAGTTTGGGCTGAAACATTTATGAATTAAAAATCATTAGTTAGACCTCTCTCCTGCCTCAGTTTATAGGCCAGGTTTACACGATCTAATTCTTTCCAACTCAAACCATTTCATCATTCCCTTGTTATTGAAACTTCTGTTTGTAATAAAATGAGGCAAAATCCCTTTTTAATCCTGCTGAACAGAACAACACCCTTACTGTTTCTCACTTTTACTTCTCTTTGGAAGAGTGTGCCAGTTGCCCTGATACCAAATTGACTGTGAGGTAAACAGCTGCATGCTGTTGATGCAACATTACCCATAAAAACGCATGCAGCCACTGTAAGAAATTAAAAGGTTGATTTGTTACTGTCTCTATAGTACTGTTTAGAACCTCAAAAGGTCAGATTCAGTGGCAACAACAAATAGTATGTATTAATTAGATGCAATTATAGAGATGAGTTCCCAGAAAAAATGAGAGCTGGGATCAATCTGGTCACTAAGAGGGCACTCCAATATTTGACAGAAGTGAGACTGCATATCTGGTTTGATAAGCTCAACTATAGGCATTATCACACATATGTTCTTACAGTGACGAGAGAATGTATTAATATAAGTGAAGCCTGTAGCAGTCTCTATGGTTACAGCTAACGCTTTCTAATATAAGCCATTGTCTTCAGATGCTTAACTTTCCATGTTTCAACTGCTTAGGCTGAAATTTTCCATCACTGCTTATAGTTTCCAGGTGAATTCTCTAGCAATCAGGTTAGCAAATGCAGTGAAGAATTCTAGCAGATTCTCATGCTGAAACAGAGATCAGAAATTTGGCAGGGACTTGATATTATCATCTGTTCCCATTCTCTCAAATTTATTCATGGTTTGGTGACTTTAAAAGACTCAGCAGATCCTGCTAGAGGCTTTGTGCTCAAATTTCCAAATGTGACACCTACAGGGGATGAATCAGTCTCAGCCAGACACTACCAAATGTTGCCAGACTCACCTGTTCACAACCTCAAAGTCTTGCCAAACGTGCAGTACAAACAGGACACGTCAACTCTGCCCTTCCTCCGAGGGATTGTACGTAGGGGCTGAGAAAACAGAAGGCAGTCCAAATTTTGTATCTGCAGCTCTTCAGCCGAGTTATAAAAAGCTGGCTCGACCCTACCTCTCTTCTGGCTGTCTTTCTATTGCTCCCAACAGCAGAGACCTGTGCAGTGGATCCAAACACCCCAAGTCAGAGCAGCCATTCTGCAGGACACCAGTTTCTGTTAAACAGTTTCTAGTAAATGCCCCAATGCTACACTATGATATGTATCTTGAAACTTGGACTGAAAATACTATCTTTGAATGGTGTCGTGAAGAAAAAGGTATCCAAGCCTGTTCACCTGCCACCAGCCCACATCCTGTAAGGTACTAACATGCCATCACCACCATTAAATTTTGCTCATCCACGACACAGGGAGGGAAAATAAATTCTGTGTCCTACGCTTTGAGTTAGAGGAGTCAAGAGGTTCTAGATATACCCAAAGAGGTTCTTTAGCCAAACTGGGATCTTAGGCAACAGCTTATTCTTTCTTCAGTAATCTTTACCACCCTGCCGCAGTTCACCTCTTCATTCACCACTTTTTCTATTTTTCAGAGTTTGGGTGGTGGTTTATTTTAAATTTAAACTTTCTGAATACACAATTACTCCTAGATAGTCCTGATTTCATAATCAATTTTTAAAAACTTTAACCTCTTGCAAGTATTTACCAACTAAGTGACTGGTTGCTGCTCTTGTGCATTACAGGTGTCCTGTGGTTATCAGTAGTATCCGAGGTGTTATACATCATGCTGTTAGTCGTCGGATTCAGCCTTATGTGCCTCGAGCTCTTTCATTCAAGCAGTGTGATAGATGGGCTCAAGTTAAATGCCTTTGCTGCTGTCTTCACTGTGCTTTCAGGTATGAACCTTCCCTTTCCCTTTTGCCCAAGGAGCCACTATGAAACAGAACTCTAAGACTTTGGCAGAATAGAAGCCAGGGGCTGCAAGAATCTCTCATCCCCATTCAGCTACTGCATTTTTCACTATAATTATTTGTTACTTTGCAACAAGGACTGCATGATAAATTTGCCTCTTGTCAGCAAAAATACATATTCCTGATTTCGCAATGGCAATGCAGCCTTCCCCCAGCCAGCACAGGCCTTATTATGGCCAAAGTCTGAGCTTCCTTTTTCAGCATCATCACACTGATTATCCAACAGAAAATGAAAAAACAGATAATGTTGAAAATTTCTTTTTTCCATGTTAATCATGAAAGTAGGTAAAGGTTTGATGCTTCAAACCAAAGAAAGGAGTCATCTTGTTCATTGGGAGAATAGAGAATGAAAAGAGTTCTAGTAATCACACATAGGAACAAGCCCAATAGTAATGTGGGGACATGTACATCTCTTGGAACAACTGTTTCAGCCTATTTTCGTGCTCACTCTGTACTTGCAACCTTTCAGCATATGAACTTGAGGAATTCACTTCTCTGAAAGAAGTTATCAAATCTAACCATGTAACCAAGTGCCCCTTCACGTCTCTGCTGGCAAAAAAACCCACTTCCCCAGATTTATACAGGCAAACAGCCACAGCTGGCTTTTCTGAGCACTCCTGTATGGACTTCTCTGGCAGAAAGAACTTCTGCAATAAAAGTTCATTTTATTCTGCTGTATTTCAAGCTGAAGGAGATTGTAACAGGCAGCGTACATTCTGTAAAGGAGTTTGTATCTTCAGGGGTAGCTTGAAATTGTGAAATACTGGTAGTGGTATAAAATTTAGATCAGATGTAGAGCTGAGAAAACAAAAAAAAAAAAAAAAACAAACAAAAAAAAATCTGGTAAAAACTGCCAAAGCATATTTTTGATCTTTGGATTTTTAAAAAAGTTGGTTCCATTTTCAATATCAAACTGTATGGAATTCTCCAGCATTCGAGCTATTGTTTCCATGCTGTTCTCTTTCTCTTTACCATTAATCACAGTTTTAAAGTTTTGTAAGAATTATGAAGTTTTCTTTCCTACACATCTTTCTATTTTTATTTTTATCCTTCCCTTTTTATAAGTACATTGTCATGATGTTCCAAATACAAATTTCAAAATTTCACAGAGAAAAAGGATAGAAAAAGAAGCAAAAAAGCCCAAAACCCCAAAAGAATGCTAGCTGTTCTTTTCAGTGACAGAGTTACCAGAGGAAAGAAGAAGAGCATCTTTATTTAAACTTAGCATATTTATAATGACATAGCTTAGTAGAAATTAGGTAACAAAGAAGACTGCCTTGGAGCAACAGACCTCTCATAAAATTAATGCTAGAATTTACTCCTAAAAGTGCGATGGGATCTTCATATCCTCATAGCTCAATATCTAAAGGTGAGGAAAAAGTATGCTTACAGTGTGGCCACCTATTGTTTTTTCTTTACCTCTTAAGAGTCATTAATAGAACCCCAAAACATCATCATTTTGGTATCCCTCTAAACCTCATACAAATTAAAAAACTTATATATGTCTCTCATGTAATATTGATAACACAGCATTTTAATTAATGTGATATATTGTATAAATAATATTTTTGACAAAGATATCTGAAAATTCTTTCAAATATGTTGTATTTTCCAAATTTAATTCCTTAAGCTCTCCCATTACAGACACCTAGGAACAGCTCTGTTCTGCAAGTCCAGTGATCTCAAGCCAGCAATAAGCGGTCAGTGTTTCTGCCCTCCCATCACTCCAGCACACCATATTATCAGGACCTGTTGCCCTGGACCTCGTGCGTGGGCATACAGGCATTTTGTCCTCTTTGCAGCCTTTTGGAGGAGGAGCTGATCTTGTAAATACAGCATTTGTTGATCTGTTATAGGCAGTTCATTTTATCCAAAATGTGACCATTAGAAAAATACTATAGGATATCCCCATGGTGAACTTGGCAAAGCAAATCTAAAATAGACCAAACCAGTGGGTGGTATCAGGAACAAACCAAACCAAAAGTGCATGAAGCTGCACAATGAAAGAAGCACTTGTATTGTTTTGCTGTATCTTATACATGATATAAAGCCACTGACAGCACAGCCAGGCGCACGTCTGCCCCCAACCCTCCACACCTGAGGCAGGTAAAGCAATGAATGCCAAGTTTTCACTGTGGTCCCTGTGTTACATATAGCAAGACCTGCTGATGACCTCCTATTCAGCTGTATCAGTGGACTGTCGTCCTGGCCTCCCACACAGCAAAAGGTTTGAACATTGCTGAAACCCCATTAAGGTTTTGCATGAACAGAACAGATCAGCTCTTCCCTGTGTCAAACTTCCTGATGGCTCTGAGTGACTATGACATATCTCAGGGCAGTCTGTAATATTTTATTAAGGTTGAAAAATGACTGACAGTAGTTATAGGAACAGCAAACCCCAAACTTTAAGATCAATGCAATAACTGTAGCTGGAGAAAATCCACCGAAAAGTACAGCAAGCTCCCAGTGATCTCTTTAAATTAAATATAGCCAGAAACCAAGGTGTGTACCAGTTTGCTGTGCTCCCATTAGGCCGCCCACCCTGCTGAAATATTTCTTCTCTTGTGAATTGCTCTTTCCACCTCCTAACTTCGCAGTGTGTCACACCAACATGAAGCAGCAAATCACCACAGCTTCTTGTAATAAAATGTCTTTGTTCAGCCTCTGCAGTTGTCTGTATCAAATACAACATTCATCTTGCTGAAGGTCCTGCTTAACATACCCACAACACAAACATGACATTCCCCATCTTTCCTCCCACAGAACTGCCCTGAATCATCAGCATGTCTGGTGAGACAAATGAAATGCTTTAGACCCTGAAAGTAAGAGGGAAAGAAGAACCAAAATTTGGGTCTGGGGAGGGAAAACCAGGATCTTCCACATGAAAAAAAAGTAGATGGTCAGAGACAATAGTAAATGGCAACTTCAGTTAAGGTGCAAAGTGAAACGTATGGGACTGCGTTGTACCCCACCATGGCAGAACATCAGTACTTCTAAGTGCCTTGAACTGTCGTTACAGCACAAGGGGGTTTTTGACATCTGTAGATCCAAGGTCTATTTGGGATATGATGCCTCTGCCCTACTGTAGCTAACTGCCTGAACCCATGCTTTTTGTGAGCTCAGCTGGGAGCATCATTCTGCACTATCAAGGTACTAAAGCAGACACACTCTCAATTATTGTAGTTAGAAAAATATCTCCAAGCATCAGAGCTGCTCCTGGCCACCACTTCCTGAAAAGTGGGGTTTGACTTTCTCAGAGATGTCTAAATGTAAAGTTCAGGCAGGTTTTTTTCTGCTTAAGCTGAAGAACCATGTTGGCCAGCTAAGTGGAAAACTCAGACTACCCTGTGGTTTAACTACAACCCTGTTCTTTAGCATCATGGTGAGTGTCTAATCTTCACCCAGCTGTAGTTATCAGCAAAATATAAAAGCAAGCATCATCACCATTGTACCATCAAAAGTATTCCTAGAGTGTCCTCTTACCCACACATCATCAGGAGCACTGAGTTCACTGAACTTCCCAGGGTAACTTCAAAGTGTTTTATAAGTGTTCAAATTTATAAATCTTGGCAGCTGTTCAGATAAAATATCATTGTTTGGCATTAACACATTCAATCTTGCATTGCCTACAGAAGCCTGTCTCGTTATTCTCTTACCTGAGGCCTGTCTGCAATGGGCTAAGTGAGATAACCTGTGGGTGGCATACTCCTGTTTTGCAGCAGCAAGGTTGGTGGTGATGCTAATTGTGCAACATTTTCTTCAACGGTTTTCTTTCTTTAACTCTTCTCTTATTGAGAATTCAGTACGATGTAAAATAATGAGCTTTCAGTCACACCTTTCCTCTGCCCATGCAACTCCCTCCTCCACAGTAGAATAGGAGGCATGAAAGTACAACAAAGACTCTTCTGGAGCTTTCAAAGCACTTCCAGCAGCAGCTATCTCACAAATTATAAAAAAAACATTAGCACAGAGAATCCTAATATCATCTCTGCTTCTCAGGTCTCTTGGGGATGGTGGCACACATGATGTATACTCAAGTTTTCCAAGTGACAGTCAGCCTTGGACCAGAGGACTGGCGACCCCATTCATGGGACTATGGATGGTCCTTCTGGTAAGTGTCACCATCAGTTAATACCTTTCCATTTCCAACAGTCTGTTGGGAGATTGTGCATACACCTCAGATTTTCAGGAACATGCATAAGTATTCCCAGTTGCCAGAATGCTATGTGCAAAAATTCACCATGGCCGTGCAATTGCTGAGGTGTAGAGGACAGTTATCAGTGACTGTGCAGCAGCAGCTGTGCGTACCAGCAGGTACATAGCATTTGTAAATAAACAGCACCCACAATTACCAGCACAGATTGAGCACTCTCATTAAAGTTCAATTTAGGTACATAATTACCATGGCATTTCAGAGACTTTTAGCTGGCTTTGGTTGGGTTTTTTTGCTGTTTTTGTTTTTAATTAATGTGTCAGTTGAACCTTAGAATGCAACTTTTAACACAACTGCGGAGGAAGGCATGGTGCTCCTGACACCATGCTACTTCCCTGTGGATCATGGAGAGAAGGCTTACAAAAACAGGCATATTTTAGAGACTGTTTTTTTAAATTTTTTTTTATCTTTCCCATTTATCCTCTAAGAATCACATGAAACTAATCTGGCCAAGATATGTCAACTGTGTTATATTGCTTGCAAGTTTGTAAGAAGTTTAATGAGCACAGGAGACTGTGGAGAACAAAAATACCTGCAAACAATATTCACATCCCTCTAGAGGCATGAGCCTCTTCACATGGCTAGGCAAAATACATTCTTTTTTTCATTTCTAAATATAGAGCTTTATTTTTGTTCCATCTCAAAGCAGATACAACAACCTTTGCTAATGTCAGTAAAAACACAAATACTTCTTATGCACAGTGCTGCAGGGCATTATCAGCCTTTCCTTCTCCCCTCACTATGCTGTTCTTCACAGGAGGAGTTACTAATATTTTAGTAACATGTTGCAAAATATAAATCATATTATATTTCATTTATAGCTTATTTTGTGTCTCAATAACGAATATTTACTGCATATGAACATGAACTTGTAAATATACTGTTAATATATTCATAATATTATATAAATATTTATAACAGTGATGCCATAACAATTGTATAATTATTAATATATTTAAATAATAAGGCAAATTTTCTATTAATTTGTCTTTATAATCTATTTTATTTACTCCAATACTCAAAATTCAGACTGTTGTTAAATGCCCAGCATGGTAAAGCACTCATTAGATTATTCTCCTTCATCTTGTGCAAGACAAGAAACCTCTTGCTTCATGGCTCCCATAGGGCATTATGAGCCCTCCCTGGGCCCTCTCATCCTACCCACGCTCCAAGCAAGCTGTTCAGAGCTCAGCATCCCATCCTGCAGTGGATGGCAGCTCACAGCGCTGTCTGCTATCCTAACCACAGCTTTGTCCAAGAGCAGATGAGGCATCCCCTGCCTGTAGCTCTGCCCAGCCACCCGTAGCCACAGCAGGCTTCTGTTTAAGGACTGACCCTGGGTTAGGCCTCACTGTGGAGGATGATTCCCACAAGCAGGGAAATATGTGGGAGCAACCTCAGCTCTTCCCAGATTCCTGATACAGGACCTCAGCTTCACTCCTTGCAGTGACTATTGGTTCACCCTAGATAAAGCCGAGCTCACTCAAGCCATTGCTGTCACAATGCAGCATCTCAGATTTGGTAATCTCTCTCCCCCCCAATACCTCCCAAGGAAACATACTTACCTATGCAGGATGCTGGGCAAGGTGCAAACCTCAGCTCAGGCACGTCTCCCCTGGGACAGGTGTGAACAGCAGCAGCATTTTCAGCCTGCAGCGGTGCTCAGCAGCCTGAGGGAGGCCATGGAGTTCCTCATGCCATGCCAGTGACTGACAGCAGACCTAGCAAAGGAAAGTCTGAAATTCAAATGCAGCAAAAACATTAGTTTCCTTCCAGCTAACAGTGAACCACCCCTGCTGAACAGACAAGAGAGGTACAGCCTCCCCTGGCATCACCCAGACTTGATCATCTTCTTTAAGAAGGGTTAAAAACAAATGCCCACCAAACCTGGTGGACTTTGGAAGCTCTGCACATGTAGGAATTTCCTTCTGTTTCATCTGGGTTCAGGTGATGACCTGAAGCATGAGCCTTAAATACCCTTGAACCAGCAGTGCAAACATCAGCATTATTTACCACCTTCTCTAAAAAGCAACACTGCAGCATCCCACCAGACAACCTGTCAGAGCACAGGGAATTGTAACACCACTGAAAAGTGGGGCTAGGAAACATTGGCCAAGAGGCAAAGAGTACGAGCGGAGATCCAGACTGCCGTTTGTTTCCTAAGTTCCAATGAGAAAACTATTTTTTGTGTGATTATTTCCTCTCTCTCGAAAACGAATGATAAAAATCCCTCTCCTCAAAATGAGGAAGGGCTGCTTCTGATCTGCTCAGATGTCCCAGGGTTGAAAATGCACCTGTTATCTTACTGCCTTCCCAAGCCCATTGTCAAAGCCTGGAGGCTGGTCTGTGCTCTGGCACAAGCCAGGAATGGGTCAGGGGGTTCTCCAGGTAGGGGGTTTCAGTGGCTCTGAGGAGCTACAGGTGTTCACACTCGGCCTTCCTAGGAAGGAAACAAGTTCTCAAACCTGAGATGTTTGAGCCAAAGTACAGCCCTGAGCTCAGCTACCAGAGGCACAATAGGTACAGCCCCATCACAACTGGGACACAGCTGGTATTGCTGTTAAACAGGTCTTCACCTAAGGTCAGATGTAACTCTTACAGGTAGGAGAACCACTCTTTACACTTAAAAATAAATAATACTTAATGGAAGTCCATAAAACCTAAAACATATCAATAGTAACTGTCTCATTATTACGATTTACCAAATGCCAGACCTGAGGTCACACTGAGGGTCTTCATTCTGTATTTCCTTCTCCAAACCTTTCAGCATTTCTGAGTCAATGATTAGAAATTATCAGAGATTTTCAAGAGGATCTTTTCTCTATATGTCATTCCCCACGCAACAACCAGGCACAGTGAAGCATGTGGTTTCAGCTGGCTTCTTCCTTGATATTGTTTAGGAGCCCAGCTGGAAACATTTGGAGCTGTTGGAGCTTCTCCACACACTCTGTGTAGGACGAAGACACTTGCCAGGCTTCCCTGTGCCTGGATACTCACATATAGCATGAGTTTTCTTTCCACATCTCCACCCAACTGTGGAAATCCTAAAGAAATTTCATCACCCCAGGGTTCCTTCTCGTTTGATTGCATCTGGCAAACAGGTTCCAAAATGACTAGGAAAGGGCTGCCTCCATGCACGTCATTGCCATGGGAGTCCCTCGAGGACTTGTTAGGCACTGAATTTTGAAATCACTGAAATGTGCCATTTCTGTTTACTTGAACGATTTTTTTCCCCCAGATTTTTCAGTTCATGAATATGTGTTCTTTTTCAAGTTTTGCCTAATTTGAAATGAGACATTGTTTCCTTGTCTGCAGAACCTGTGCAGAACGGGAAAACAGCTCATGCTGAGGGCTCTGTTGATAATGTGTATTTATAAGATAATGCTGCTATGGCTATATGCTTTCCGTTCTGCATAACTTATATCAACGTTCAATTTGGTTATAAAACAGGTGAAAGCAAGGAGCAAGTAAAGTTTATAGCTGACACAGATGCTTCAGTTAATCCAAATTAGTTAGGAAGCCACTGCAAACTATATGTGGCTGGAGCTGATGGGCTTAATGTAAAGTCAGGACAAGCCTGAAGGCAGATAAGTTTTGCAGACAAAATGAGAAATTCAGTGCTTTTTCTGTAGCCCCGTTTCATGCTCAAATAGCATCTAAAGTTCTCGGGGCCATGAGTTCAGCCCCACCCCCAGCCACATCTGAACTTGAGATCAGCAAGGTAAAGGCAGGAGGGGAGATGTGCAGGGAGGGCAGAAGGCACTCGGGGGAAACCCAGTCCACAAGCAGGGAGCAGGGTAGCTCCCAGCTGAGCTCTCTTTGCCAGGACACCCAGAACAACACTTGCTGCTGTTCCAGCCTGGCACTGAGGCAGTCACTTTTTTATCTCCACTTTCTTTATCCCTTTGTCTCCCTGTGCTCCTGGTTGGTACTTGCATGTATCCCACCACTGGCTGACCAAGATTGCACACTTGGAGCACTGCCCTCAGATTGGATCTCTGGACAAAATGGAAGTGCTGTCTTCTATTGTGGTCAGGCTTTCAGAGGCCAGATACAAGCCAGGAATGCTAGAAATGGCCATGAGCCAGGAAAGAAGGAAATACAGTAGTGTGGTGAAGGCATAAAAAATGTGATAAAAACCATCCCTGCAGTATTGTTGTGCAGAGTCAGTCTCCCATGGATGCTGGAGAACTCGCACTGGTCCAAAAGATGTGCTTTCTGAGGCACTACTCTTTCCAGGAGTTCATCACTGGTCTATAGATTTTAGCATTTGTCTGTGAGGCTCTGAAATATTTCAAAGGGAAATCAAGAGGCACTGGACTCTTCCGTCAGAGTGTAGCGAGTATTCATGTTAGCACTCTGTCATACAGTTCTCTATGGGATGAAAACTGTGCCCAGCCCATGACCCAGCATCCTTCCTGCATGCCTGAGCACCTGCCACAGGTCCATTGAGGTAAGATGAGAAGAACGGGTTTGTCACCACTGACTTACCTGCCTAGTAGCATCCTGTGTATGTGTGTCTCTTAGCGTCAGAAATATACCATGAGCTGCTGTCTTAACCCAGCTCTGTTTGCTGGTTTCTCTCTTCACAGTCTGGCATGGGGCTCTTTCACCTGCTGCATGGCGGCCTCCGTTACTACCTTGAACTCTTACACTAAGACTGTCATTGAGTTCAGACACAAGCGCAAAATCTTTGAGCAGGGCTTTCGAGAAGAGCAGAACTTCCTAGACCAGGAAGCCATCAAGTACTTCAGAGAAAGGTCAGTGCAGTCAGTTGCTCAATCAGTGGAGGTTCTCACGGACTCTGCTAGTCTCAGAAAATCCAAGCTCTCACCCATTCTGGCACATGTGGGTGAAGCCTCTGGAGAAGATGTGTGTTAAAGACAAACACAAAAGAT